TTTACCAGACTGTCAAATGGAGGCTAGCTAACTGCATTAAGCAAATGGCAGTCACATCACATCCATCAGATGCCTGGAAGCTTCAAGCTCTCAAAAAGGGCTGGTTAATTGTGCCAATTAGCGCTAAACAACACGCAACCACCTTCATCGTCGAGCCGGGAGAAACCCCCTCCGCGTTCCGAACGGGGCCTAACCTTTTCACATTCAGAAAGATCGCCGAGAAAAGGTAATTTTTATGCCCTTAGCTACACAATAATGTGAAAGTCCCCCTCTGTAAATCCTGGCTTGGACTTTACATCCAGGCATCCAGCCAGTCAGCACATTCTCATTGGCTGTGGAGGGAGAACAGTCAGTCCCTGTTGGCTTGCTGTTCCAGGAAAAGCCCTATCCCTGCCTTTCACCTTCCATGAATGCACATTGCAAGCATTCCCATGGCAATGCAACAGCCTGCTTTTGACAACTTTGATTGCTCCCCCTAGAACATTACAAAACCCTGGCCTTCACTACAGATACAGTGACCATGACAGGCTCTTTCACCGTCCATTGTGGCAATAATGCCCGCCTTTTTTGCATCTCGTTTTCTTGGCACGGCGTGTGAAAACATTATACTCCCTCCGTCCCACAATATAAGTTCATTTTTCAAGCTATAACGATCTTATATTGTCGAAAGGAGGGAGTACTACTAGTGTGAAAAAAAATGAGGGTAAGAACTAGCAATGTGCATAAGTGGAGAGGTGTAGGGCTGCTTTACAGAACAAGGGCAGTGTTCGTTCGTGTGTGTGTGTGTGTGTGTGTGTGTGTGTGTGTGGGTGGGTGGGTGCACCTAGCAACAAAAGCGAAGAGGAAATGTGTGTGACTGTGTTCAATTATTTGGTTTTATCTTTTCCATTTGCAGAAAAGGTATTCCAAGAACAACATTAAAGCCGGGCTGCCACGCATATTTCCCTGTGGTTGATGGCTACCTCCAACAATGGAAATGGAAGGGAAGGCAGACAAGTGTAATCAGATTCTCGCCAATTGTCTATGCAATTCTCAGGTAAGAAAAGAACCAGATGGTCCAAGATTTCGAATTTTCAATACTCAGCGCTTTATGCTCTTCGAGGAAATGTCCTCGAAAATTCATGGCAATTCGGCATCCGGTCCGGCTACACGTTAGAACTGAAGACGATGCTTGTTTAGCAAAAGCATGGTTCATAATCATACCAGGTTCTTCAAGAACTTGTTTCATGGACAGTTCATGTTCCAATGCCAACCTTAAGAAAAGAAAAAAAATGAAATCTGGGATCTGTGGCAATCCACCCGATGTTGACCCGCACGCGTTCGGCGATGTGATTCTACTGAAATACCTGATCCAAGAAACACATTTCCACTTGCATTTGCATCCTGCACAGATTTATAAAAAATGCTAGTAAATCAATTTCTTCCAGTTAGCAATGACTGAATCTGATCTGGGGCTCCATGCACCTTGCACTGTGCAACTACTGATGGAGCAATGTGGCTGAACATGAGCACAGCAGCCTTTGTCCCCACCGACCACATGGGCTTAAGGAACACAGAAAGCAGGTTAGTGCATGCATTAGCCCATATGCAGCTGCTCATAACCACTATTCAATTGAGCACAAGTACAAACCCGCCGAGGTTAGTTTAAGAGGGGCAGATCCTTAGTCTTGGTTTCTGCAAGAAGGAATCAAAAGAACACTTGTTTAATTTCTGTGCGCGATAGATCGTGTTTGTGATGCCCACCATGCTTTTGATAAGATCCGAATTACATATCAACTGTTAAGAAATTCTCATCTTTGGTGTGAAATAGTCTTTGGCCGCATTTAGCGTGCTTCGAATGATAAAATTCCGCTCTTTATTCTCTGGAGAATTGTTTAGTGTGGCCTTTGTTCCAATATGGTCCTGCTTTTTATTCACCTTAAGATCTGAATTATACATCTCAACTGTTACGAAATTCTCTTCTTTGATGTGAAATAGTCTTTGGCCACATTTAGCGTGTTTCAAATGATAAAATTCTGTTCTTTATTCTCTGGAGAATTATTTAGGGTGGCCTTTGTTCCAATATAGTTATGCTTTTCAGTCTCCTTTTATATTTAGTAAAGTGTTTATTCTGTCTAACCTTTGCATCTCCCATAAAGGATATTTCTGGTCTTGTTTATGGTTAAGGACTACTCACTTTGTGTGAGAGAGTTTATTGGCTAATATATAAAGCTGCAAACCTGCCATACATCAAAACATTAATCTGAAATTCCATAACCTCTAATTAAGGCACTAATTGATTGTAGCTTATGGAGCCTTGTCAAGTTCCAAGGAACATTATGTCTCATCTAACCACATGCACAGGCTGCTGTCTCACTAATTCCATGTATAATGCATGAACCAACCTTTGGACTCAGGTGACACTATGATCCAAAAGCCACAATCAATGGCAAACAAGATCCCTTTTCCTCTTATCATTTTTTCTTCTCTTTCCTCCTGTTAGATCTTCATGTTCACAAATTATCAAGAGGTGACAGATGTGCACCAGCAGAACAACCTCACTATAATAAAGATACATTGGAGAAAAATATGTACTTTCTCTCTTCTCCACACACACACACACACACACATACCAAAAAGTAAAGAACACCTTGGACGCAACAGCTCATGTTAAAAGTACAACTAAGTACTCTAGCTCTGTTGAGTGCCTCAAGATTCTTGAGAGGCGCCACCAAGAAAACCAAGGTCCATGGCACTTTTTCCCTCGAGGTGCATTGCCCGATATGCATTGTGTTTCTCTTTTCTGCTGAGTTTTCGTGCTGCAAGCGACGTCTGCTTTTTAAAGCTGTAATGTGCAAATTATGTATGTGCACATCATGCAGCCAGATCAGGCAGAAGGATGGCCTGGGTGATTCACTTGACCGACGAGAAGGAAATTTGGCGGTTGTGTGAATTAAAAATTTGCACTGTCGATTCAAAGCAATCATGCTCATATAGTCATATATACATCAGGATGTGGCTCTAGTTGCATTTTTTTGTCTGGTCTGGAGCAACTGAGCAAGCAACCCCTCAATGCATACACACCTGGAGCATCAGGTTGCTTCCACTGATGATGACTCCCAAAACACTCAAACATGTAAAATGTTTTCTTGTGCCTAGGGAAATCTCCGACGACGATCGTCGCCCGCCTCCCGGGACCGGAGCACTGGAGCGGCTGGCCGGAGACGGAGAATATTCCGGGTTGTTCTCGCCTAGTATTCTCTTGCTCTCTGGAATTGTGAATGGAGAGGAAGAAACTAGAAAGGTGGTGGCTGGGTGAGGAGGGGGAAGTGAGTGACCACCATGGCCGTCCTTGATTCCCTGCCATTTGCAGCATGGATGGCCTCTGCAAATCTCCACTGTGTGGGAGGGCCGGCTCTACTCTACTCCACTCCACTCCATGAATGCAGCTAAGCTACCTCCAGGCCCAGTGCACCAAATTGCACACCTCTTGCAGCCAGTGGTCCTCCATTGGCACCCCATATATATGTGTGCAAGCATGTGTGTGTGCACTGGTACAAGTGCCAACCAAGTTACACAAGGGCTGCAAGACCAAGATGCAGATCACATCCTGTGGTGGCAGCTGCTGATCCTGCCACTCCTGTTAGGATCATGCATGCATGCATGAGATTCATGTGTGTGTGATAGCTAGCAGAAGGATCATCATCAATCAGGCTGCTGCCGCTGCTGCCGCTGCAGCATCTGCATGTGGTTTGGTGGGTAGGTACCAGTACCAGTACCATACCATACCCAAGAAGATATCATGTGAGCTGGAGCCACATGAAAAATGGAGGAAGAGAAAGGAGAATGGGTTTGAGGTGAAATATCATCAGTGAGTGAGCTAGCTAGCTATGCTATGAGAGGCTACTGGTAGTGGTAGTGCTGCTGCCATTAGTTTTGCAGAGATGGAGATGCAGTAGTAGTAGTAGTAGTACATGCATGCACTGTGCCTGTGTACAACAGAGTTGGTCCATGCATGCATGACAAGCAGGAAAAAGTGCCCCTGTGGTACAATCAGAATTCTCAGGAATCAATAGTGGAGGGGGAGCATAGAGGGTAAATTGGAGAATCTCTTTCTGTGTGCATGCACAACCGTCCACCTATTGGTGCTGTGTACTGAGAAAAATTATGAGAAATATATCAAAACTGGCGAATGAAAAAAAAGAAAGATCTGGGCCAGTTGTTTTTATTCCATTCTCAATATATTCCAGTCACAAAAGACTGGCTGCTATCACTCTCTGGTTATTCCCTCCCCACTCTACCTTGCGGGTGGAATATCATGAGGATTTTCTGAACATTGTGCATGCATTGATTGGCATCGCATGAATGTACTGTGCAGTAGCTGTGAAATGTGAATCTAGTTTTTTTTTGAAATGAAATGAAAATGTGAAACTAGTTTAAGCCAGGCATGCAGAGCAAGATAGTAACTAGTGGGATTATTTACCAGAGCACATCACAATTCAAAGACAGAAGAAAAGAAGCTGCTCCAAGGTAGCAGAAATAAGACATTATTCATGGCAGTAAAAGGCACTTTAGCGGAGCACATCACAATTCAGAGCCAGAGAAGGAAAAACACACAAATAAGAGAAATACATTCATGGCAGTAAAAAAGGAAATCATGAGATGATGAGTAAGTAAGTAGAGTAATTATATATGGCACTTGCTTTGTCTGAACAACAGCACAGGGAGAGAGAGCTTACTGCTTCTTCCTTCTTACATAGGGGATCACATGATCGATGGTGATGCATGCATGCTAAGCTTAAGAACCATCATCACTTGGTACACACACCAGTTCAGATTACACATGATAATTATAAACTAATTAACCCCAGCAGCTAGCTTAGTTGGGTGCGGTAAAAACTCCACTGCTCTCCGAGTTTGTAGTAGTTAATTAACCTGAAACACCAGAAGCATCAGGTAAAAAAGATGATCTCTTTTGCTGCGCTCGCTCTTGTGCTGCTGCCACGGCCGTGGCGTGGGTGCTAGCTTTGCAGGGCTGGGAACATGAACATCTCGGGGGAGGATCTGAAGAGGTAGTCGTCGAGCGACGCGCCGTCGAAGCCGCCGAGGAACGGGTCGGTGGTGGTGGCGGTGGCTGCTGCGGCGACGGTGAGCGCGACGGCGGCGGCGGTGTTGTTGCTGGCGCTCATGCAGGCGATGATGTCGTTGAGCGAGTGGAGGCGCGCGGCGAGCTCGGCGGCCTGGGTGCGGAGGACGGCGTTCTCGGCGTCGACGGCCTGGAGGCCCCGCGCGGTGAGGCCGAGCGCGGCGGCGACGTGCGCGTTCTCGCGGCGCAGGTGCGCCGCCTGCGCGGCGAGGTCGTCGAGGTGGCGCTGCTTGCGCATCCGCGAGCGGCGCGCCGACTCCCGGTTGGAGAGCATCCGCTTGGCCCGGCGCTGCTCCATGAGCGCCTGCATCTCCTCCTCCGTGCCCGACGCGGCCGCCATCGCCATGGCCGCCGCCGTCGACAGCGAGCCCGTGCTCCCGCTCCCGCTGGAGGACGCCATCGCCGCCAAGCAAGCAGGCAGGCCACTCCCTGCTTTCCTTTGTTGTTGTTGCAAGAACCAAAGATCGACTTGATTACCAGCTACGGACTGACTCTAGACTCTAGAGAGGCGACGACGACGACGAGAGAGTAAGCGAGTGTGTGGGACGAGGGGAGCTTGAAGGGATGAGCAGGAGGGCTAAAGGAGGAGGAGGGAGAGGAGGGGGAGGGCTATGGGGGCGAGTAGTTTATGAGAAGACATAGAACCAGTAGAGGAAGACGACGGAGAAGGACTGGACGAGGTGGGTTCGGCGCCGGAGTGTGGAGTTGATCATAAACCCGGAGAGTAGGATCTCGCTGATCACCGGCGACATCGGGGGACTCTGAGGCGGACCCGGGGAAGCATGTGCGCTCCGCTTTCTTGGGTTGCCTCCGGGAAGGAAGAGAAGCAACCAACCAAGCTAGGCGGCAATGGATGACACCGACCTCTCCCTGCTTCTCTTCCCTCTCTAGACTGACTCTGTCTCTCTCGCTGCGGTGCAGGGGAGCTGGAGTGGAGGAGGAGGAAGAAGAGTGGGAGGAGGAGGAGGGGGGTGTTGGGGCAGGGAGCGGGGAGGGATTTATAGAGCCGGCCGGTGGCTCGGGGGTGGACGAACGGGAATGTGATTCCGCTGGGGGGAGGGTGGGAATGGGAATCCGATCGATGGGCAGCACAGCAGAGCGGGCATGCAGGAATGGCTGAACGAGCGCGGGGAGCGCGGTCGCACGTGCGGCCGGTCGGAGTGGATCCGAGGCTGAATCAGCTCAGCTGGAAATCACGCTGACCTCACTTGGCCTCACGCGCCCATGCCGCCCAGGTGCGTTCACTTCACTTGGCTCGGCGCCACTGCTGTAGCTGGTAGGCGGTAGGCCCCGTGTGCTGACTGGCGGACGCGTCTAGAGAGGAGGCCTCCGTGTCGAAACCTCTCGAACTTACCGGCGCCGGCGCCTCTCTCTGCCACGGGAAGATGCGCCGAAAGCCGGCCGGCGGTGAAAAGTGAAAATTATGCTACCCTGGCCCGGCGCGCGGTGGTTTGAAAGCGGAGAGAATCTGAGTCTACTGCGGCCGCCCGCCATTGATCCGCCGCCTCTGTCTGGGCTCCAAGACGCACGTCTTTCGCGGCATCAATTGCAAGCGCAGAATGTAGATGGTAGTATTCAAGATGACTGGCACGCGGGTCTTGCCGGCGGCGGGCTACGATTTGAATCACGGGCGGTGCTAGTCTAGCAACGGACCAGGTGGCGGCTCCAAATCTCACGAGCCTCGTCATCCTTTTTTTACGGACTATAGGACCTCTTTTGATTCGTGGGAACCTGGAAAATTTGTAGGAATATAAGAAACACATAAAACTGTTGCCAGCCAAGGTACTTTTTTTTAACGGTATTTTTACAGAAAAAATGCATTGGCAGAGCCGCTCGGTGTAGTCCGACCTTTTGAATTAACACATAGCCATCAACCGGCCAGAATTACAAAGACACCACGGTATAGAGAAATTGAAAACTGAGCGGAACGAAGATGCAAGGTGCTAGGAGGAACAAGTCAAAGGCAACAACAAACACCGTTGGCATTAACCACCGCTACGCCAAAACCAACTGACCTAACGAAGGCCTCCGGACGAGGGCAACATTGGCATGTATCGTGCCGCGGACTGCATCCAAAGGGCCAGACATGAGCAACACTAGGCCCGTCTCCGCCGCCGCAAAGGGCCACAACACTTTCACCCAGGCTCGACAGGTGCCACATCGGCGGCTGACAGAGAGCTTCCCACTAGAACCTAGACCAAGGCGCCCAAGCTACCAAAGGGGAACAGTAGAAACAGACCCACATGCATGGGTAGCCGGCCACAAGAACACCGTTGCCGCTAGCGGCAAGACAAAGTCGGTCGAGAGTTGTCGATCGAAGGCGAAGAACCATGGAGAAGACCGGAAGGGGATAACGCCATGCAACTGTCAATGGTATGAATCCTCGGAGCCCAAGGCTCTCACTTGACAACGTACCATCAGTGCCGGAGAAGGGACCCCTATCCCTTTGCACCTGCTTGCAGGCATTCGACATTAACGGAGGGACCCATCGCACCAGGAACCGCGCAGGCTGCAACCGAGAAGACCAAGCCACCTCACGCCGTGTCATCGAACCACTAACAACTACGACACCACAAGAGCAATCCCCGTATGACGTCTTTAGGAAGGAGCACCCCACCATGTGCCCTCGTCGCCCAAGCAAGAAAGAGCAAGTTTTCACTTGTGCTCGAGGGAGGGTGGGAGTCAGAGAGTTCACACCAGAGCCTCAATGAAGGAGAATGACACCGGAAGGTGTCGCCTTTGGTGTGTCCGCCATGCCATCCAGGGGTTTCCTTTGGAATAACGCCTAGCCACCAGATTCGCTCACCAGAGCCCATGGGACAACGACCGCAGTCGGTAGGGACCGGAGCCGACACGAATCAGAGCAGATCGAGATCAGGAACATAGCTTCTCTAGGATGCGCTAGCACACCAGTGCGTGGTCGCCACTGTAAGGGCATATTTATCCCTAAGGTGTTTTGGTGATTGATGACAATGCTTTTGCAGACTAATCATGTGCTTTGAGCTTTTCAGGGATTCATCCTTTGGCACGAGACGATTCTTTCCCCTCGGAGTTTGTTATTCAAGACGGTGTAGCTCTTTCGTTTCTAGTTTTCTGGTCTTGTCTCGTAGAGTCTCCGTACTATCAAGAGGGGGTCCGCTTTGGTAAGGCTTGGGTGGAATCATCACGTACACTTCCTTTTCGCACCCTCCGAGCCTTCCCACGTCGATGGAGGTCTCTTTTCTTGCGTTTTGAGCATGCTGTGGTCCAAGCGGTAGTACCGCGGTTCCCAGCGGTAGTACCGCTTGTGGGTTCTCAGCCGCAGTACCGCGGTACCCAATGGTAGTACCGCTTGTGGGTTCACAGCCGCAGTACCGCTGCGGTACAGGGCTCCTACCGCGTCGACTCGAGGGGGTCGCCTCTCGTGTCAGGTTGTGCGGCACTTTGCAGCGGCAGTAGAAGCGGTAGTACCGCTTGAGAGCGGTAGTACCGCCCTACCACTGCGGCAGTGCCGCACTGGGCATGGTTCCTGCTCTTTCTTCAAGCCCTCCCAGACTGCACGGTAGTACCGCGAGGGGGAGCGGTAGTACCGCTGGGTCCAGCGGTAGTACCGCTGCCACCTGCGGTAGTACCGCCCTCTGCGGGGCTGTTTCGGGGGTAGCGGTTGGATGGTTTCCCCTTGTATAAAAGGGCGTCTTCTTCTTCTTCGTTGACTTACCTCTTCCCCCAAAAGTTCCATTAATGCTCCAAGCTTCATTTTCGCCCGATCTCTCTCCCTAGCCAATCAAACTTGTTGATTTGCTCGGGATTGGTTGAGAAGGCCCCGATCCACACTTCCACCAAGAGAAATTTGATCCCCCCCACTAATCCCTAGCGGATCTTGTTACTCTTGGGTGTTTGAGCACCCTAGACGGTTGAGGTCACCACGGAGCCATATTCCATTATGGTGAAGCTTCGTGGTGTTGTTGGGAGCCTCCGATTAAGTTGTGGAGATTGCCCCAACCTTGTTTGTAAAGGTCCGGTCGCCGCCTCCAAGGGCACCAATAGTGGAATCACGGCACCTCGCATTGTGTGAGGGCGTGAGGAGAATACGGTGGCCCTAGTGGCTTGTTGGGGAGCATTGTGCCTCCACACCGCTCCAACGGAGACGTACTTCCCCTCAAAAGGAAGAAACTTTGGTAACACATCCTCGTCTTCACCGGCTCCACTCTTGGTTATCTCGTCCCTTTACTTCTGCAAGCTTATTTGTGTTATTTACCTTGCTTTCTTGTGTGCTTGTTGTTGTTGCATCATATAGGTTGCCCACCTAGTTGCATATCTAGACAACCTACTTTGATGCAAAGTTTAATTTGGTAAAGAAAAGCTAAAAATTGTTAGTTGCCTATTCACCCCCCCCTCTAGTCAACTATATCGATCCTTTCAATTGGTATCAGAGCCTCGTCTCTTTACTAAGGACTTTACCGTCTGAAGAGTATGGTTGACACCGTAGACGGTGTGGAGGAGCACTCCGGTGTGAATCCTATCTCGTCTACGGGCGATGGGGAAACCGCGGTCTCTCGTGAGGAATTCAATGTGGCCTTGGAAACATTGAAAACCTCCATGACGACCGAGGTTGAAAGCTTGTTTAATAAATTCATAGAAGGGCTTAAACTATCCACCGCACCTTTGAAAGTGGGTGATCTCATTAACAAGGTGACGGATGCTAACTCCGACAAGGGGGATGCTATTAGTGAAAAAGCTCCTTCATCTAGTGGTAAGAATGGCACCGGCACCTTTGCCCATGTGGAACCTCCACTTGTGTATGGTGGAGAGATTCCCTCTACTCATTTGAATCATGCCGGTCCTCCCCCTAAGATTGTGAAAAATGAGGACTTTGATTCTTGGGTCTATCGGTTTAAGCGTCATTTAAATCATGTGAATACTAATCTTTGGAGAATCATTGAAGAAGGTTTCTATCCACATGACCGAAGCAACTTCACTCCAAGAGAAGCCGCGGATAATAAATTCAATGAGAATGCTCTCTTCATCATCCAAGATGCAATTCCACCCGAAAATCTTCCTCACCTCCGGCCCTACGCCATAGCCAAAGATGCATGGCACCAAGTTGTTTCTCTCTACCGGGGAAGCGCAATCATTCAACGCTCTAACTATGAAGTGGTGCAAGATGAAGCCGATGAGTTTGCTATGAAGGGAGATGAAGAACCTCGTGAGCTTTATCGAAGAGTAACCAAACTCGTGGTTTCACTCCGAGATCATGGGAGCAAGGACACGGATGACAATTGGATCAAGCGCAAATTCCTCAAGGCAATGATGCCTTACCACAAGGCTATGTCCTCCGTCATTCGTCAAAGGCCAGACTTCCACACCTTGTCCTCAAGTGAAGTGTTGGATGAGTTTGTGGCTATGAGAATCTTGGACAAG